AGGGCACTCTTAGGGCATAGTCTGCCGTGCTCCTCGTCGTGGTCTGCCGTGCTCCTCGTCTTGGTCATCCTTTCCGTCGTCTATGAGGGCGCTCTTGGTGGCCTGGTCTGCCGTGCTCCTCGTCTTGGTCTGCCGTGCTCTCTCGGTTCCTAAAAAGTAAAAAAAAATAAAAAAAAAAAAAAAAAAAGAAAAAAAAAAAAAAAAAAAAAAAAAAAAAAAAAAAAATAAAAAAGAAAAAACAAAAAGAAACAAAAAAAAAAAAAAAAAAAAAACAAAAAAAAAAAAAAAAAGAAAGAAAAAGGACCTGGCACGCGTGCGTCCTCGTCTTGGTCTGCCGTGCTCCTCTTCGGTTCCCTACCGCGGTCTGCCGTTGCTCCTGTGGGGGAGCACGGCAGACCACAGGAGCACGGCAGACCACACAGGAGCACGGCAGACCACACCTCGATTTTTTGAGGATGTCTCTAGCGAAATGGCCGTGGTCTGCCGTGCTCCACACAGGAGCACGGCAGACCACCTGCTCATTTTCTGAGGACGTCCCGAGCGAAAACGTCATTTTTAACATAAGAGGTTCTAAAACACCTTTGTCGGCATCTCATTTTTTCGAGGATGTCTCGAGCGAAACGCTCATTTTTCATGCATAACAATTTTTTTTTTGATATTTTTCAACATCCCGATTTTTTGAGGATGTCTCGAGCGAAACCGTCATTTTTAACATAAAACGTCTTAAACGATAGCCTCCAACACCTCGATTTTTCGAGGATGTCTCGAGCGAAATGGCCATTTTGGGGAACCTGACCGGACAAGAACGGGAAGCGCCGTTTTTTATCCACCACGTGCGTCAGAGACCGTATTGGCGAGAACGTCAGAGAAACCCATAACGCAACAGAACAGACTAAATGGTGGCCTGCCGCGCTGGTCTGTCGAGGTAGTCTGCTGCCCTGGCCACATCATGGTGTCGACACCGTGCTTTTCTCTCGGCCACGCGGGCCCCCACCCGTTGTCGCCCAGCCTACTTTTTCTGTTCCAGCCTGTCTTGTCTTTTGTTTGTCCGTCGTCGTCGTCGCGTGCCTTTCCTTTGTCGTGGTCGTCGTTTTCATTATAATCGTCCGCTGTTGCCGTTCTCGCTGTCGCCGTCGTTATCATTTTATGATTGCGGTCGTTTTTCTGATTGTTTTTTTGTTGTTGGATTCCGTGTTCGGTTGGTTTTTGTGTTATGTTTGTGGTCGTTTTCTGTCATCGTTTTTGTCGTAATTTTCGAGATCGTTATTGACGAAGACGACGACGACGACGATGACGACGACGACGATCTGCCGTGCTTCTGTGGCGTCTGCGGTGCTCCTGTGGTCTGCCGTGCTCCTTCTTGGTTTGCCGTGCTCCTGTGTGGTCTGCCGTGCTCCTGTGCGGTCTTCCGTGCTCCTGTGCGGTCTTCCGTGCTCCTGTGGTCTGCCGTGCTCCTTTGGGGTCTGCCGTGCTCCTGTGGAGTTTGCCGTGCGAACGTGTGGTCTGCCGTGCTCCTGTGTGGTCTGGCGTGCTCCTGTGTGGTCTGCCGTGCTCTTGTGTGGTTTGCGTGGCAAAGTGGTCATTTGCTTGTGTGTGGTCTGCCGTCTCCCGTGGGTCTGCCGGTCCTGTGTGGTCTGCCGTGCTCCTGTGTGGTCTGCCGTGCTCTGTGTGGTCTGCCGTGCCCTTCTTTGGTCTGCCGTTCGGGGATGGTGCCCTATCGAGTGCTCCGTGCGGTCTGGCCCGTCTGGCCGTGGCGAACGTGGTGGACTGCCGTGCTCATTTGGGTTCTGCCTGCTCCTTTGTGGTTTTGCCGCGCTCCTGTGTGTCTGTGGTCTGCGTGCTCCTGTGTGGTCAGCAGACCCAGGGCTGAGGGAAGGCTGGAGCAGTGCTCTGGTGGTCCTTCACCCGCCCAGCTCCGCCCCCTCCCACTCTGGACCGATCTTGCGGGAAGCTGGCTTGTGGCAGCGCATCGCGCGTCGGCCGCTGGCGTAGCGACTTTGGGTTAGAAAACTTGAAGCTGGCCAGCTTTGGTTACAGCATGGTGTAAGTTGATACATAGCTAAGGTCATCTGAAGAACTAACATGCAACTACCCAACTTGATGTTAGCATAGATGGTTGCATTGTTTACCACTTGTAATTGCAGCTGCCCAAGTTACCCAGGGATGTGACTATCGTAACTGCGAGTTGTAAGTTGCAGGCCAAAGAACTTATCAAAGTTACAAATAACTTGTAAACTACTTGCAACTGTCTGAAATAAGTTAAATTTGGGCTCCTTTGCAACCCTCGAATTGTACATATCGCACATTATCATTCCCCTCTCCCCCCACCTCCCCCGCGTACCCCCAACCCCCCGACGCCGCGTGGCTGCTGAGGCTTCGGATCGCAGACCGAAGAAAGAGGCGGATTGCGAGGAGGATGAGCGATTCAATCGCTGCAGGATCGCAGACCGAAGAAAGATGCGGAGTGGAGGAGGTTGAGCGATTCAATCGCTAATGTTTTTTTGATGAGCGATTCAATCGCTGTCCTGGCAGATGTTGTTTTCCGCTCAGTGCAAAGCAAGAATGTCGCCAGAGGCGAGCTCCGACCAAGCGTGGCACATCTCAACCGATTCGCCGCTCCACCACGCAAGAAGCAATTCGCCGTCCTTCCGCAGGACTGACGCGTTCGGCGTCCGCTTCTCGATCACGACGCACTCGTGCCCAAGAATGAATAGATCGTCCCCCCGTTGGCCCAGAGCTGCGACGCATAGAAAATTGTTCTGCATGCGCACCACGTCGCCTGCCCAAACAAGCAAGCCTTTGAAAGCAGCGCTGGATGAAAGGACGACGTCGCCGCCGACTGCTTCAGCCAGCAGGGGCGACAACTCCGCATCGCCCCCCCTGAGCCCTGGGCGCTCGTCGAAACTTTCGAGCTCCTGCAGGCGCGCCAACAGCACGCGAGAAATTGCAGCTTTCTCGAAGCCTTTCAGTATATCTTGGTTGTCCAGAATCATTTTCGGCAGAAGGTGCGACCTCTCAACAACGAAGCAATCCAACGCAACGTCGAATTTCTCCACTTGCTCGGGAATGTGCGTCGCCAAATGAAACTTTGGTTTCCAATTGTCGGCCCCGTATGCTTTTTCATGTGCGTCCGCGTGGCGATCAACTGCAGCTCCGAGGGCCGAGGCATCGATGTCGCCCGCCTTCGCCCGTTGAATTTTGTCAATTACAGCGAAACAATGGCAGAGGGAGGCAACTTCGTCGCGCAGCTCATCGAAATTCGGCAAGATAACAATGCAAGCAAAATGCCGCACCAGCGGGTAAATGCACAACAACTCCGAGGCGCTGCTTCGCCAATGCTCCTTGGATGCGTTCTCCCTGGCCTTGCAGAAAACAACGTGGGCCTCCCGACACTTGCGTCGGTGTTGCTGGGGGAAAGACCAGTCTGCCTGGCAGTACCGTTCCAACTTCGGATAGATGTCCCTCAGAGCAGGAATGGCTTGGCATGCCGACATGAAGCAAAACATTTCCTGGGACGCAACACCATTGCACAAATATACATGCATCCAATCAAAATGGAGCGACGAAACAGGGCCGACCTGCCCTCGGAGGTCTGCGTCCGCCAACAACCCATCAGGATTAAAATTGATGCCGTGTGCTTTCTCGTGGCGCACAAATGCGGCTTTCGATATTGTCCCTTGTAAGTGCGTCAACTCGTCGTGGGCTCCCCGTACGGCCTCGTCAGAATTACAAATGAATGCGCTGCGGTCCCTGCATGTGACTTCCACCAACCGATTGGGCGCGGCGCCAGCGCCAGCAATGCCTGAGCCTTTCTTGAGCACGTTGGCGCACTTCAGACACGGTCGGATCCCTGCAGATCCTTTCACGCCGAGGCCCCTGGACAAAGCGACCTCGTCTCCCAAGTGTACGGCAAATTTCGCGAAGAACATTGTCGGCCCGCCCTGTAGCGGCAAGGCCACGCCATCCACGATATTGCCGTCCTCAAGAAGCAAGCGACGCAGCAACGACTTGATCGCGCCCGAGAGGCCACCGCGAATTTTCTCCACTTGTGCCGACCTGATCACGCCCAGGGGGAACCAACAGCAATCGTGCCGAAGGGCATGCTTGAATTCTAGAAACGAAATGTAAAATGCAACGAACTTCCTGCGGTTATGCGGTCGCAGCACAGCTCCAGGCGTGACCTCGTCGTGCGCAAGGATCACGTTCCACGGCCTTGCTGGGGTGATAGGCGCGGCCGCGAACATGCGCTTCAGCGCTGGGGACACCTCGACAAACCGTTGAACCAAGCGGGCAGGCCTCAGCGGGATGCGCCAAGCAGGCGCGCCGCGAACCCCCTGCACCACCCCCTCCCGCCCTGGGGGGGGGGGGGAAGGGGGAAGGGGGGAATGGGTGGAGGGGGGGAAGGGGCAGGGGGAGAG